TTCATCTAAATATGTTATACCTCTAATAATATATTTAACCATGCATAATATAATAGTTTGTCTCTAAATATTTTAACCAAAAATATCTAAGTATTTTAATCTAAAGTCTCTAATGTTTCAACTTCAAAAATCTCTAATATTTAACTTTAAAATACCTTAATATTTTGATTTAAAATCTCTAACATTTTAACTTTAAGATCTCTGAATTTTATTAAAAATCTGTAATATTTTAATAATCTCGTAATCTGTTTAAAATCTCTAATATTTTAATTTAAGAATCTCTGAATATCTGTATTGAAAATATTTTTCATTTTAAAATCTCTTCATATTTTGAATCAAAATATAATATTTTAGTTTAAGAATCTCCAAATATCTATTTAAAATCTAATATTTTTCATTTTAAAATCTCTTCATATTTTGAATTAAAATCTAATATTTTAAGAATCTCTGAATATCTCAATTTAAAATCTCCAATACTTTCAAAATTTCCTATTTTCCTCTCAAACCCCAAAATATTTTTTTTCTCACGTCTCCTACTTTGATTTACAATCTAATCTTTGAATTTCAATCTCTAACATCTTCTCTTAGACTCTGCAACATTTGATTCCAAATGTTCTGTATTTCCATGTGAAATCTCAATTCTTTTGGGTTAAACTTAGTTTTTTTCACTTCAAGTCTCTGATTTTTTGGTTTAGAGCCTGTAAGGTTTGAATTTAAAATCTTAACTTTTTAATTTAGCATCTTTTTATTTAGTTCCAATCTCTGTTTTCATTTCACATTGGTCGTATTTTCATTTCAGATCTGTCATTTCATTCAGAATGAAAACTGTCAGAATAAAAATGTTTAAAATTTTACTTCAAACACCTTAACATTGTCGTTTTAAACACATTTTATTTAAAATTTGTGATATTTTGAAGACAGCTAATATTTTTAGTTTTCTGGTTTGAAATCCAGAAAAAAGTTTGTTCGAAATCCAGAAGAGGGAAAAACCCACCCAACAACTTTTTATTTCAAATCCAGAAAAATTGGTTTGAAGTCTAGATAAATTGGTTTGGAGTCCGGATAAATTTGTTTGATATCCAGAATATTTGGTTTGAAGTCCAGAAAAAAATCACTTTGAAATCTGTAAAATTTTCATTTTTAATCGATAAAATTTTGCTTTATAATCCTTCATATTTTTATTTAAAATCTGTACTATTTTGATTTGAAAGCCATAAACTTTTGATTTAAAATCCCGAATATTTTGATTTGAAAGCCATAAAATTTTGATTTGAAATCCACAAAATTTGATGTAAAATCCATAAAATTTTTATATAAAAATGCATAAAAATTGATTTGAAATTCACGAAATTTTAGAATTCAAAAATCCATTAAAATTACTTAAAGCCACAAAATTTTAGAATTAAAAAATCCATTAAAATTATTTAAGGCCACAAAATTTTTATTTTAAATCACAAAAAAAATTATGTAACGCCACAAAATTTTAATTTAAAATGTGCACAAAATTGATTTAAAATAAAAAATTTTATTTCAAATCCATTGAAAATTATTTAAACCTCACAAAATTTTGATTAAAAATCAAAAAGATTCCAAGTCCACAAAACTTTGATTTAAAAATCCATAAAAAGTGATTTAAAATTCACAAAGTTTTGATTTAAAACCCAGAGAAATTTGATTTTAAATCCAAATTTTTATTTAAAATCCACAGAATTTTGATTTTTAAATCCACAAAATTTTATTTAAAATCCACAGAAAATTGATTTATAATCCACAAATTTTTATTTTAAAGTCCATAAAAAGGATTTTAAACCCACAAGGTTTTATTTAAAAATCCATAAAAAGGATTTAAAATCCACAAAATTTGTATTTAAAAATCCATAAAAATGATTTAAAATCCCCAAATTTTAATTTAAATCAATTTAAAATTATTTAAAACCCACAAAATTTTTATTTTAAAATCCATAAAAATTTTATTTAAACCCCACACAGTTTTTGATTTTAAAATCCATAAAAATGATTTAAAACCCACAAAATTTTGCTTTGAAATCCATGTAATTTTGCTTTGAAGTCCACAAACATTTGATTAGAAATTCACAAAATTTTGCTTTTAAATTCACAAAATTCTGATGTGTGACCTGGAGCTCTCCAGCCCTGGCTGTGATCTCTGTTGTGCTGTGTCCTCATTCCCTTCCCTCACCGACTCCCCCAGGACACTGAGCCAAACCCTCTGGATACCCCTGGAAAACTTCCTGGCCACTTCCCTCTCCCACAATCCTCATTCCCCCTCGTCCCCCCTCCCACCCAGATTCAGGAGCAAAGCAGCACTTCCCGCAGCGTTTGGGAATGGGATGAAGCCTCTCAGGAAGTGCCTTTGTGCTCCTGATCCCTGTGCTCTCTCCTCCAGGAGCACCTTCATGTTTGGCAGCTTCCTGAGCTCCCAGGAAATCGCCTTCTCCGACCCCACTCCCGACGGGAAGCTCTTCGCCACCAAATACTGCCAAACCCCCAACTTCCTGGTCTACAACTTCCTCTCCCACAGCTCCTTGGGATAACTTGACATTCCTTCAACTCAGCCTCCAGAGGATGAGTGTTGCCTGGATAAAGGTGTTTCCTG